AGGAGAATGTGCTCCAAGATTTTGCCAGGCACAGAGGTGAGACTGACTGGTCTGTAATTCCCCGCGTCATCCATTTTCCCTTTCTTGAAAATGGGGGTCATATTTCCCTTTTTCCAGTCATAGGGAGCTCCACCTGACTGCCATGATTCTTCAAATACGATGGACAGTGGCATAGCAACTTCATTTGCCAGCTCCTTCAGGATCTGCAGATGGATTTCATCATGTCCCAGGGACTTGTGCACGTTCAGGTTTTTAAGATGGTCTTGAACGAGATCCTCTCCTACAGTGGACCCAAGGTCTTCATTCTCACAGTCCCTGCATCTGCCTTCCAGGACTTGGGTGGTGCAGTCAGAGCCTTTGCCAGTGAAGATAGAATAAAAAGAAGTCATTGAGAACCTCAGCCTTCTCCAAATCCTCTGTAGCTAGTTCTCCTGATAGCTTCCAGAGGGGGCCTACATTGTCCCTAGTCCGTTTTTTAATTTGCTATGTACCTATAAAATGCCTTCGTGTTATCCTTAACATCCCTAGCCAAGTTTAATTCTAACCGGGCCTTAGCTTTCCTAACCTGTTTTCTAGCTTCGTGGACAACATCCCTGTACTCTTCCGAGGCTGCCTGTCCTTTCTTCCACTTTCTATAAGACTCTTTTTTCATTTGAGCTTTCCTCAGCAGCTCCTTATCCATCCAAGGAGGTCTCCTGGCCCTCCTGCTGCACTTCCTTCTAGCTGGGATACAACACTCCTGAGCTTGTAGCAGGTGATCCTTGAATATCAACCAAGAGTCTTGGGCCCCCCTGCCCTCCAGGGCTATATCCCATGGAACCTTACTAAGCAGGTTTCTGAAGAGGCCAAAGTCTGCTCCTTTGAAGTCCAGGGGAGTGAGCTTGCTACACACTCTTTTCACTGTCCTGAGGACCTCAAATTCGACCATCTCATGATCGCTGCATCCAAAGCTGCCCTGGAGCGTCACATTTCCAACGTGCCCTTCCCTGTTGATGAGCAGGATGTCAAGCACGGCACCTCTCCTTGTTGGCTCCTCTATTACTCGCAGAAGGAAGTTGTCTCCCACACAACCGAGGAACCTCCTGGATTGCTTTTGCCAGGCCATACCGTCACTCCAACAGATGTCAGGGTGGTTAAAGTCCCCCATGAGAACAAGGGCCTGGGAGCATGAGGCTTTTCCTATCTGTCTATAGAGTGCTTCATCCGCAGGTTCTCCTTGATCAGGCAGTCCGTAACAGATCCCCACAGTAATGTCTCCCATCGCTGTTTTCCTTTTAACCCAGACCCACAAACTCTGTTAACTGATCACCTGTCCCCAGACAGAGTTCCATATTCTCCAGCCTATTCCTAACATAAAGGGCAATTTCCTCTCCCTGCCTTCTGGGCCTGTCTTTTCTAAGGAGCCTGTAACCTTCCATTCCAACACTCCAGTCATAGGAGCCATCCCACCAAGTTTCTGTGATGCCTATTATATTATACCCCCATAGACGTGCACACATCTCTAATTCCTCATTTGTTCCCCATGCTATGGGCGTTTGTAGAAGCATCTGAGCCTCCAAATGAAGCCAGATCATTGGGCTGGAGCAGCTGGAATATCTCTACATTGCTCTGAGCATTTACTATAGGTGCTGGCAACGGACTGGGTGTGTTGGGATGGAATGATGCCCCCCTACCCCAACACATCTAGTTTAAAGCCTCCTTTACCAGTCTGGCAAGCCTCCTACCAAAACTGCTCTTCCCCTTCAGACCAGCTCCACCAGCCCCCGCTAGACCTGGCCTACAAACTTGGGTCCCATGTTCTAGGCACCGAAACCGCTGACTATGACACCACCCTTTTAACCATTTATTAACCTGGCCAATCCTCCTAGCCTTTTTCAGGTCCTCCCCTGTATCCTGGAGAATTGACATAAAGAGTATCTGAGCTCCAGAGCCCTTAACCATCTCTCCCAAGGCTCTGTAGTCCATCTTTATGTTCCCCAGGCTACTACTATCGATATCCCTAGCACCCACATGTATCACTAGAAGTGGGTAATAATCTGTGGGGCTTACTTGAGCAGGGAGCCTCTCTGCCACATCCCTGATCCATGCCCCTGGTAGGCAACACACCTGCCTTGAGACCGGGTCAGGCCGACAGATGAGTGCTTCTGTCCCTTTCAAAGTAGAGTCCCCTACCACTATGACCTGTCGCTTTTTCCTGGCAGCACCAGTAGAGATCTTCTTTAGCAGTGCATCAGCTGGCTGTTTCTGGTGCGAGTGCGTTTCCTCATTAGCCCCCTGCAGAACAGCAAACCGGTTCTGCGTGGGGACAACAGATTTATGAGGAAGCCCCTTGCTTTTAATTGTCCTCTTCCTCCTTTTTTTGTTGTTTTTTTTTTTTTTTGTTGTTGTTGTTACTAATTCCCAGCTTTGCAGGTTAACGGCCTCCTTCTTTCCTTCATGAGGTAGAGGGGAAGCTTGAGGCCCCTGCACAGTTTGGGCCTGGAGCAAACATTCCGGCTTCCTCCCAGCTACCCTGACATCTTGCAGTCTATTAATAGCATCCTGCAGCTCAGCCACCTGCTGCAGGAGGTTCTCCACCAGAGAGCACCCAGTGCAGCCCTGCCCATTGTGCACCCTTCCCTCACCAGACCAGCGCAGGCACTCTCTACACCACGAAGTCTGCACTGCAGCCTCCCCTCTCATCGGCTCTGTCTGGGTGCCTATGCTGGCCACTGCCGGGGCAGCCAAAGCAGAGCTCCCAGACTGGGCCCTGATCATACAATGAGTGCTCACCATCCCGCTCGAACTGCTGTGCAAACTGCCTCAACCCACTCTGTTTGTCCCCTCTCCCTGAGGCGGGTTTTTAACCAGTCAGGGCTGGTGCTGCTCCTCCTGGCTCCACCCGCTGTGAGCCCCTGCTCCCGTCAGCTGAGCTGCCGGCTCCTGGGCAGATCCTGTCGAGGACTTGAGGCTCCCTCGGTGGCTCTCGCTGCTCTGAGTTGAGGCTCCTGGACACTGATCTCCCCCCCCTGGCTCCGGTGTTGAAGGTGTCCTCTCTTGAGCTACTCACCTCAGCAATTCATACTATGGCTCTCTGCTAAAGACCGACTTACATTACTAAATTTTCATGTGCAGGCATAAGGTTACTGAACAGCTTGAAGGAAAAAAGGAAACTTGGAGCAAAATAATAGTGCATTGCCGACTATGCAAATATTACAAGTCTTCCCTGGTTATCAAGTCAGTCCTAAATGCAAGTCAAAATAAGCCAAAACCACCTTTGTTACAAGGAGCAGGTACCTATCCCATTAGGTAAAACTGAGGGATAAGGGGTAAGCATGACATATGCTTACTCATCAAATTGACATCTCTCCAATTTAGAGACAAGGATGTCAGGCAGGACAGTGTTGAAAGCTTTGCACAAGTCCAGGTAGATGACATCAACCGCTCTGCCCTCTCGGGAAGACTGTTTTGTCTATGTAATCCTCTACAACAGATTATGCTTCAATTATTCTGCAGTCCCATATGACAACAGCCCCCACCAAATCTCTTAAAAAAAATGACAGGGAATTGGAGCTTCACACTGAAAGTAAAAGGCAATCCTCCATGACATGCATAACTAACATTTGGCCTATCCACAGTGTAACATTGACACTCATTAGCTTTGAGAAGCAAGTAAAGGGGGGAGTGGAATACAGAGATTCAAAATCTGGTAGTTTTGGGAATAAGATAACCCCTATTACCACAGTTTTCTGAAAGACATGATGTATTCCTTGTATATCTGTGTAGCACTGTTGTATATCGTAAACACTTCTCCATAAGGCAACACAACAGGTAGCTGTGATTACAGTGCAAGAATACCATGCATCTTTTGACCTGGAAGGGCATCCAAATATGACCATATGTTATCTAAATGGCAGATAGATACTGGTGAAACTCTTTGCTAATAAAGCTGTAAAGCATTGGCATAATCCACATTGGCATAATCCACATTTCCATAATGAAGTCACACCACTGTGCTGGAATACTGATACACCTTTCATCCTTGTATTTAGTTGTATCTGCTCACTCTTACACAGATGTACTCGCTGACTGACCATACAAAAGCCTGAAGTACTAGATACTATGTCCCTGCAATACCGAAATACTGGAGTGTTATTTCTTTTCATTCCAGAGAAAGACTAGAGAAAAACTGTGATTTTTCAGTTTTACAATACATCACTTAAAGACAAAATACAATCTTTTCCTAAAAATGTGTAAGTTTAAAGAGGATTCACATTCCTTCCACATCTAATGAAATTACACACTATTTTTCCACATAGGTTTTACTTTTTAGACAAATACAGTCTTAGGAAGTGAGTATTTCTGTGTTACAAACACTGAAAGGTAAGAACTGCCTACTGCTGTTGAGCCAGAAGAGCACATAAACCAGTACATCTCAGATTCAAATCATTGCACAAATAACAGAAACCCTAACAATTCTAAACATTCTTTTCTTACTAAATGCATTTTCTGAACATATAAAGATATAATTATATATCTATAATATATATTATAGATATATAGAGCTATATAGATTGATATACTTCCTTCCTATAGCTCTGTTTTTCTTTCTTTAAGAGAAACTATTACCTCTCATAACTGAAATTGTGCCCAGAGACTCAGAAAGTTCTTTTATATGCTACCTTTATGACACCCTTTTCACACCTTGGCAACAAATCGTTAAGCTCCAATACTGCTTCTGCTCTTGCTCTCCTGGAAGTTCTAAGCAGACATTCTGGGTTACCACCACAATAGGAGGTCCCTCTGCAAGTTATCTTGACATCAAAAGTTTTCAGGTATGAATTAATGCATGTAGTTAATAAGACTACAATAACAGACAGTGCAACACGCATGAAGATCAAAGTAAAGTAATTTCTCATTCACTTAAGCTGCACAGCTATAAACAAAGCTTTGAATTTATTATGTATGAGACAAGAAAGTATTCCTCACCTGGCACCTGACATCTTAACAGAAATACTCACCCTGCTGCAACTGCAGGAGGGATGACCAGTATGAGTTTAAGATGTGCTTCATGCAGAGTCTCGGAAAGGTGAATGAGCAAGTGTATCAACTCCCTGAAATAGAATATATTAGTAAGAAGGAAAGGAAGTCGAACTGGTGCTATACATTGGCAAGGGCAAGGTAACAAGTAATAGTAGAAATAATTGAAAAGATGCAGCTGGCAAGAAAGTGAAACAATTTTTAATGAATGATCATAGCAGAAAAAAATTGAGGAAGACTGATCAGAGGCTTACTCTCTTTAAGGACTAAGAACACTGAACTGCTGGACACAAAGTTTTACTGCAACTTGTGATCACCTTGGGGCTAAAAGGTTTTCTAGTTTTATTCTAATCTAAGTATGCAGTGTTAGCAAGTAAAATTAGCATACCTTATCAGAGTGGGTCACCTCTTGAGGTCATAGTAAAAAGAATTAGATCAATAGAAGAATAAAACACTGGTCTGAAACAAGCAGCTGTTGAATAGATTCAGGTTGCCAATGTGTTACTGCACATGAGGTCTGAGAATCTGTAAAGATGCTTTCACGGCAATATATGCTATCTTCAAGGTGTATTTCCAAGCACTGTGTATAGAAACATTTCTGCTGCTGGCTTTTGCCTGTATAAATAATCCTTTGTTTCTAAATACATTACTGGATAGCTACAAAATAGATGTTTGACAATGTCCTATCTGGAAGTCTCGCCTTCCATATGCCTAATTTTAAGATTTTCACAAAAGCTGATTTTCATATCCAAATTCTAAACACTTCAATAGGGAAATAACCTTCAAAATTCTCACATAAACTGTTTTCAGTCTTCCTTATTTGAATGGTGATGTTAACAGAAAATCCTCCAGAGACAGACTGGAGAAAAAAAAAAAAAAAGTTTTTAATAGCTATTGTTATCTTAAGAGGAGTCCAACATCACCTTAAATTTGCACTATAAATATGGCCCTGCCGTATGCCTGCCTTTAAATCACTTGATTCTTCAGAACAAAGTCAACCTTCATATTTACCCATTGCAGGGTGAATCCGTGAAGGCAGTCAGACAGATGATATTAGCACAGAACTCTAGGTGAGTTCAGGACTATACTTAAACCTGAACTGAGTAGAAAGTAAATTCACGACTCATTCCAGTAGTTTAAAAATGTTAAAGCAGGAAAGGCAGGATACAGACCTGAACTCTCAGAAAAAGCTTCTGGTACTGTCATGTCTTTCAAAGTACTACCATCCTATTCTTCTGAAATTATCCTTGCACTTCCAGGGATGGGGCAGCCACAGCTCTGGCCCACCTGCTTCCAGCATAAATAACTTCTTCCTTACATCTAATCTGAATCTACCCTCTTTCGTTTAAAGCCAGTACTGCTTTCCCTATCATTACATGGCCTTCTAGAAAGTCCCTCTCCAGCTTTTTTGTAGGCCCCTTTCAGGTACTGGAAGGCTGCTATAAAGTCTCCCTGGAGCCTTCTCTTCTCTAGGCTGAACAACCCTGACCTCCCTCAGCCTGTCTTTATAGGAGAGGTGTTCCAGCCCTCTGACCAATTCTGTGGCGCTCCTCTGGACTTGCTCCAACAGGTCCATGTCCTTCTTACAATGGTGACCCCAGAGCAGGATGCAGTACTCAAGCTGGAGTCTCATAAGAGCAGAATAGAAGAGGAGAATCACCTAAATCACTTAATTTTGGCTCTTTTCCATTTGTCAGCCAAGACAGCTTATATAAATCAAATGTGCACCCTTCGCCTCTCCCCCAAATGGCAATGCTCATTTATTGTGCTATAAATTAAAACTTTACTATGTCCCAACAGTGTTTTCCAGTATTTTAAACACAATACCCTGCTGTATTACCACTAGTAATTTTGAAAGAAAAGTTACTGACATTTCAAACATTATAATGAGGTGCAGGAAAAGTGGGAATAGACTCAATCTTCCTGAAAAGGCTTCATTAAATATTTACCAGAGACTTCACTATTGTCAAATTTAACTTCAGAGTAGCTACTAAAACACTGGCACCTTTAAGACTCTATATTGAGCTAATTAAGGTCTATTTCATTCTTACTAGCTTAGGCCTTCTATCACTACCATTTGGTAGGTCAGTTTTCTAAGTCTTCATGATTTCAAAGTATCCTGTCTCTTCTGAAGTATGCAGACCTCCAAATTTTCATCACCCAAAGACTGCAGGAAGCTTATTTTTTCAGAACTCCCCTTTTCTGGCATTGCTGGTCCATTGTGTTGGGGACCCTTTGTAGAACAGTTTACTTCAGTGCGTTAAGAGTGGACTGTACTGTATTTGAAAAGCCTTGCAGAAGATACGTAGGACTATTATAACCTTCCCTTCAGTTGTGTGAGTCTTCAAAATTCTACAACTTTCCAACTTCAGCCACATTTTCTGCGCAAGCTGGTAGTCAGTACTCCCTAAAATTTATGTCTTATCAAGAATATTGGACAGAATAAAGCTGTCTGCTTCAAGAAGAAATTGCCCTCTGGCACCATTTCACTGCCTAGTTAATACCAAGAAACTAGAGTGAATTATGGCACAACTTTGATTAATAGATTAATTTTTCAAGGACTAAAATGAAGGATAGAACTGCCAGAAAAGCATTTTGTGCCTATACTCCTACCAATGATAAGATGTTTGAAGGTCACCTTCTGCATGATACCAAGAGCCTACAGCACATGATGACCAAAAAAAAAAAAAAAAAAACACCACAAGAACAACAGGTTTTCAGACTGGTTCTGTGTGATGGCAGTGCCATCTGTCAGCTGATGCTAGACTGGTGTGCACTTTTATGCATGCTGTGAGATTCTGATGGATGCATTCACGCCTTTTTCACGACTCAGGTCTCAGAGGGAAAAACTCACACCAAATAAACTCACAAGCAAGAACAGCAAGAGACACCATCCTGTCTAGTTGTTAACTAAACAATCAGGATAATAAAGCTGGCTCAGTTTTCTCAGTATTTCTGCCATGTAGATCTCTGGAGACCTGACAGCTATATTTAGGCATATAGTTTTCTTATATAAAACTTATACTGTTGGTAAAACCATCATTTAAATGAATATGAAAAAAAAAAATAAAGACAGCATAAAGGATTGATATAAGACTTTACCATGCATTATAGAGCAAATCTAATCCCAAACCAGAATGATTAGAATTTTTTTGTTCCTGAAAACAAACAAAGTTTATTTTCCACACATAGATTAAGTTAGTTCTGCTTAAAAATATGTAAACCAGAAGATATATAGTGAGCCTGAAACTACAGAACTGAATGTCTCGGTGGATGCCAGCAACATAACTTCTTAGCAACATTTCACCTCACCTGTAATGCCAGCTAGGATAAACAGGAAACTGAAGGCTCTTTAGATAACTTCTTAGACCTTGCATGAAGACTTTTCATTCCTTTCTAATGTTGGAGTAGCCCCCCCAAAAAATCAAGATTTTCCCAGAAATACATAAACGGCTAACAGAAGTACTTAAATTTGCCCCATCTTAAAAATGTTCAGTTATGACAGGTTCTTAAAGTAGTTAGTTACAGGATTTGTGGGTTTACAGAAGCCTTGCACAGAGCTAACACTGTTATCCTGTTATGTGGAGATTCTTACAAAATTTGTTACATAGCCTTTAGGCTATGCAGTGTTTCAAGCCCCAACATCAAGACAATGGGGAGAGCATGTGTTACAAAGATGTCATCATGCCTCCTCAGTCCAACCAAAATCCATGGTGACCTATTCAAAAAGGTATCTCACAGGGACACTTGCTCAGCTGAGGTCTACTGAGACGGGAGCTTCCATCTTTCTGATATATGAAGTGGTATTTAAATCATAACCCAATTTGTTAGTGAGTTCAGACACTAATTTGCAGCTTTTCAGACTCCTTTGCAAACTCACCTGACTCAAGAAATACTGATGCACTCTGCTAAGAAGTATCACTACACATTGTCTTTAGAGAGTGGATGCTGATTTCGTAGTTGAAATGTTATATCAAACACAAATGTTCTTTATGCAAATCCCTCTCTCTAGCCATTGTAAGTCTGATAAAGAAAACAGTGCTGTTATTAAGTGTTGCTGCACCACTAAGGTAATGAACTGAATGGGATCATGGATCTTTTCCATAGCTTAATTAAAAAATTAACAGGAATCATCTCCACAGCTTTTCCCTCAACACAGATACAACGAATAATTCAAATAATAGAGTACCACTTTATCATTTATTAATTTAACAGCTAGGCATCCACTTGCATTTTGGAAAGCCTCAATGACTTTTAAGTGAAATATTTTTTTACTTAAGATCCACACCACAGCTCTATCATTTCCTAAGGCAAGCTGCCAGCTGTAGCATAGCCCCAGATGTTCTTATGCACCCATGTTGAGTGTCATTAAATGCTGCTCACTGCTATGTGAGATGACTACTTGTATTTCAGAAAATGATAATAAAAAAAAAACAACTGATTTTTAATTTTCTTTTTAAACTAAGACATATTCATACTAAAAAACAGGAATCAATTGTGTTAGCTAGGCTGGCCTCCTTGTATTGTCAGACAGCTCTAAAAGTAATTTGCATGTGCTCCTAGGAGCATCATTATGATCTTCTGTTCCTTTATCTAGGAGTAGGTTAAGCTACTTTCAGCTGTTTGACCTTGAGGGATCTGAGTCAGGAAAGCCTATACTATGTACCTAACAGTTAATACAGATACTTTAGATAGAGCATACAAATTGGCTGTTCTACAAAAACATCACATCTCCAAAGAATCAGGGGTCATCTCTGTCTTGACACCTATCCATCAAACAATCCCCACCCTTCCAAAGTTAAAAACATGCTTTACTACTGATGTTTGTCACCTTCGAAATAATCTGACAAGGAAGATGAGTCATGTTACAATACTGCCACTCTGTGGGCTGAAGAGGTCATGGGCTACTCCACTTTTCTGGAAGGAGCAAGGGAAGCAAAAGACCATCTATGCTTACCCATTTAACAGGAATAACTCTGCTCTGCTATTCAAAAGGAAATTAGCAAATCCCAAAGTAACACCACTCGGTGGGCAATAAAAATACAGGCTTGCCAACGTGCCAAGTTCACTTTATTCTATCTGTTAAGATCTGTTCAAAGCATATGTTCACTCAAAACAATATTGATAGGGAAAACCTCTTGTTTGTTTTTGTGTTTGTTTGTTTGGGGTGGTTGTTTTGTTGTGGGTGGGGTTGGGTTTTTTTGGGGGGGGGGTTTGTTTTTGGTTTGTTGTTTGGTTGTGTTGGTGGGTTGGTTGGTGGTTTTTTTTTTGTTGTTGTTGTTGTTTTTTGTGGGGCACTGGATACCCAAGCCATCCAGTTTTTGAGCAAGTGATAGACGAAATGACTTAATCTCAATATGAAGACACTGGTCCCATAATTTACAAGCATCACAAAGTAAAATTTTAAAATAATGGTGCGCTTCTACATTAACAGAACTGTTGTTCCACACACAAGCCTAGCTTCAGCTTGCTTCCTAAATAAGCCTTAGTCAGAATCCTTGTCTCTGAGGAGAGACACAAAGTATTTCTTGACTTAAGCCCCTCAACTATTTCTAGGGGGTGGCAATAAAGGGAGGAAAAAACCCACTGATGAGTTTACAATAAAGCACTTAAATCCAGTCTGGTCTTGAAGAGGAAGAAAACCTGCAGTCCATCTCTTTTGTTTCTATTCATGTTTTTATACCAAATACCATCTTTCACTTTTTTATCTGGGGTAATCCTAAATCATTATTCACAGGTGGACACATATGATCAAACACTGCTGACTTGGAGCAAAAAAGGCAGTTAGCATTTCACTCTACGAGTATGACCCTTCACTGAAGAAAAATACTTCCCGCTCCTTTTTATCACCAACAGATAGACAGTGAGTATGTAAGCAGTGCTTCTACACTTCACCTAAATAACATTTGGCTACTAAAGGCTAGAGCAACTACAAAGCAGTACCTCCCCTAAGACAAACAGTTATTAGGACACTAAATAGGACAAGCAATGCTGTTTTGAACCAGCATTACTTCTGGCAAAGACTAGCATTTTTACCATGTCACAAGTAAACTTACACAAGGAGCTAATAAAAAAAAGTATGCTCTGTTCATCTGTGTCACTCACAAAACAGAACTCTGATGCCAGTATGCTTAAGTTGGTCTTCAGTGAATCTTAAAATTACAGTAATATAGTCTATCTTACATTCATGTAAGTTGACTAATAAGAAAAGCATCTATTCTACTGAAATACAGGAAACAAAATACATAAACTGACCACTACACCCAACTTCTGACTGGCAGCTACTAATTGCTTAAATCACCTTGTTGGCTGTCTTATTGCAATAGATTCAGAGCTCCGTATAGAGATTAACTCTTAAGAACGACCTGGCAAATTACCTAATCGTGAGCAAGAACATCTAGTTTAAGAATTACCTGTTCCAGTACAAATGGTGGATCCCCTGACAAACCTACAAAGATGCTGCAGTTTCAATTCTTTGCTCCCAAGTGCTGATTTTCTAGGGAAATGTTAATAACACATTCAGTTCCAGTAGTAACTATTATGTGCCAGTCAGTAACATTTGCCTTAAGAGAATAACCTGAAGTAACCATTTTTAAAAGATTAAAGTCTTCAATAATAAAGTCTGCATTCTGTGAAGCTTTCTGCGAATCTGGCTTTCCCCAGACATTTTAGGCAATAGAGAGCTGGTAGGAACGCATGCTTTAGGGAATGGATGCCTGAATTTCCTGAGGGAAATAACACAAAACTGCCAGATTACTGCACTGAATCATTCATTTCAACACACATTCTCCCTTTTCCTCCTGAAGCAGCAGTCTGGAGATTGCCTTACCTTGAATCTTGTCCAAGGTGTTAAGACAGCCAATGGGCTTTTGCTCAAGGAAACCAGTATGTCAGGCAACAGCTTAATATGGATAAGACCTTTAGTTTTAGCAGCTACAATAAATGCAGACTCACTGAAACTTCTTAGCAGAGCTACTAAAAGGTAGATTAACTACTCTAAAATACAGACCTTATATATACTGAGCCTGCAAAAAACCCAAAGCTGGTTTCTCCCTAGATCTACTTCTCATTGGGAATTTTGGTTTTAGTTTCAGTATGTCTAAAAGAGCTCTATAAAAAGGCTTGGAAAGTTTCCTAATCAGCTCAAATGTGGTGGTCTTGAAAGTATCCCCCCTTTGCAATCTTCATGGAGTAACCCAAACCAGTCAATATCATAATACAGGCTGGTGACAACAACTGAGTGAGCATACAGTGAGGTACCCTCTTCACCCTTGCACAACAGTAACACCTTGCAGAACTCAAACATGAAAGGCTAATGTGGTCTGCTAGGTCTGCTGTGAAGATTATTGTGTAATCTTTGCACCCATGTAGAGTGAAGTAGAACCTTCTACTTCATTCTGACATAAATGGAACAAACTTTAGTTGTCCTAGAATGAAGTGTATTTATTTATAATGAAAAATTCAAATCAATATGAAGAAATTAAAAGCATACTTTAAAAGAAACAATTTTAGGAATTGCATCCTAGAGACTTATACTCACGTCTGTTTTTGATTTCCCAGCTGACTCCAAACTTCAACTACAAAACCATCAAAATTTTCATTCTAAGTAAAGGAAATCAACAACAACATAAATTAATCACTATGCTTATTCATTATGCTTTTGTCAGAGATTATAATACAGTATCAAAGCACACAATTACTGTAGTTTTTCTCATACTGTTACAGATTGAACATGCTTTGTATTCCTACACCAGCTTTGTCTTTAATGCAGCATTTCATGAAAAAGTCAAAAAGAAGCACAAATTATTTAACAAACATGCAAAAGTTAAAGACCTCTATTAGTTAACTCATGACTTCCACTCTTACAGGATAAACCAATATCAGATTGGGAAAATTCAGTCATTAATGAGCGATGGTTGTTAAGCAAATCATTTAACATACATTTACATGTATATTGGTAAAAAACTCATGAGCTCTTGTGTCCAAAAATATAAATGCTAACTTAGCATAGCCATGATTCCAAACATCTCCCACAATTAATCTCACTTGTGATTATTTATGTTTAGCGTGATCAAGGATATTGCCAACTTAAGTACCCTTTCCTTAAGGGGCCAACCCTTACCAAGGACCTAGAACTGATGTATCAGTCACAAAGTTTTAACAAACTATTCCGTTTACCTCTACATCCATCTTCCTCTAGAGTACAGTAAGATTTCTTTACATCATGTAGCAAGTGAGAAAACTTATTCTGACAGTAATGAAGCAGACTGTCATGAATAAACCAATAAAGGTGAATGTCTTTTAGTGCAACTTCTTTAGTCCCACACATGCATAGCTCTAAAGCTATGAGCTAAGGGGCTGTACAGAAAATCTTAGTAAACATTCCTCACAGGAAATTCTCGTCTCTCCAACCTCTTAATATTTTAAGCAAACTGGTTTATCAGACCTTAGCAAAATTGTACAGTAACAGACATCCAGTGAGTTATTGTTGCTAGTAGAAGTGGCTCAACAGCTCTGTCACACTGAGCCCAAATGTACCCCCGTCACACAGAAAATAGCACTCATTAAGCTCGTGACCTTTTTTCTGCCTATCAAAAAATGCTACTAACCAGTTTTAACCCCTGCATAATATGATTTATTTTTTAATAGAAACTTAAAAAAAAAAGCAGTCTGCTCACTAAGCAATCTCCATGAGATGCTTATCAGGTATCCACTACTATCCCAGTAACACTCAGTCTGACAGCTGTTTGGAACAAGTTTAATCAATCATCATTTACAGCAGGCAAAAGTCACCTGTGCAGCTGCCAACGATAACATAACAAGGTTATGTTGATCAGACTTGCACAGTCTCACTTTAGACTTGTAGTTAACCACACTTACATGTATAAATACTTCATATTTATAGGCACATACTAGGACACACTACTAAAAATCCTCCCGCATTATGGTTTTGAGCAGATTTTCTAGAAATGAGAAAACACCTACTCAAAAGGCATCAAATAATCTCACACTGCTTTATAAGCATTTTCAAAAAGTCTTTTTACCTTGGCTAGCAGAACCATATTCTTGGAAAGCTCCTCTATCTCATCCTCACTGCCAAAAACACTTTCGAAGTCCTGGTAAGACCAGCCATCAAACAAAATTCGAGGCACTATCAAATAAAGTTGTCAATCAGTAGTGAAAATGAAGAATTTACTATCTACACTGGAATATTTCTGCAGAAACCGAATACAGCAGGTACAAGCAGAGATGCCACTAAACAACACATCCCATAATTAAGATCATTGCTCTTTGACCAACTTTAGCTGCACAGATAAATTGACACTGTAGAACATTCTTTTTCATTTTTTGTTTAAAGGTCCGCACTGATGCAAGTTTTAAGAAAAGATACCTTCACTTGATTGAGCTATTTGATTCTACTACTTGAGTTTATGATCTTAATTGAGCCCCATGTGAAGTCTTAAAATACCACCAACATGAAGCAGCAGTCTTTCTGCAAGTTGTGCATCTATTCTATCACGAGAACAAGAAAAGTTCACCTCAAATTCTAATTTATTCTTTTGTACGCAACCCTGTACACTCTTCTACTAAACTCTTCTATTAAAGACCCTGTGACAAATTTTTATTTTGGAAAACACAGGGACTTGAGCTCATGTGATTTCTTTTTCTAGCAAACCAAAATATTCAAAACAGTCAGGCAAGAGTCAGGAAAACTGCTGTCAAAACATATGATAATCATGCACACTAGAAAAGCCAACAACTCACACAGAGTTATGTTTAAGTCCTCTGTAACTACCAAGGATGTAGAAGTGTATTTTAGAAGAGATCTAAAGGTTTATCATTTGGCAGCTGATTTAAAATATCTGACTGAGCACTCAATTTTTCTAATGTATTTCAATTTCATACTCCATTCTGAATTAAAAAGGGGTTTGCAATTCCACAGAATTCTTGCTATAGAAAAATAAAAGTCTAGCAGAGTATTCTCTCTACAGAAATATTTGGTATTTTCCCTAAACACACGCACTGTGGCACACCCCTCGAGTTCCCAGCTTCAAGGGGGGAAGAGGCAAAGGAGGACTTTTCAACTATCATGCAAGAAAGTCTAACTGACTCAGAGTTGGACTTTTTAACTGAGCAACAAGTTTGTACACTGCCCTCCCAGTACTATTGCATACACGTAGTGTTAAATAAAAACTGCCCCTACAAGGAGGCCCTGTGACCCAGGGTTTATCCAGAAACAAGCAGTTACGGCAAAACATTAGGGCACCAACAGGATTAACACTTCAGTTACTTAACTATCTATTTTTAGTTGCTTTTATTTTCCTTCATACAGGTATGCTAAGGTAACCTCCCTTTCTCCCATACACATCCAGAGCAAAGCCTTCTTTTGCTCAGCTAGCAGTTAAAGATGATTAAAAAAAAAAAAAAACCCACCAAAAATAATACAGAGGCTCACCAATTTTGATGTTTTTGGAGTTTTTTCTGACATCTTTCATCCAACCTGTCAAACAGTATCAAGAGAACACTGTTAAAATATGAACGATGTTGACAATGACAACATATTTTCAAGCATTCTTCAAATAATGTAGCCTAGTTCATTGTATCTTTCTGCCAGACTACTAGCTCATAACCAGCACAGACAAAACATCCTCTGACACACAGAATTTGAAGGTATTAGCTTCCACCACAGCACAACCAGCATTCACGGCAGTTTTACAATAGTCTCTACCCAAGCCCTCTCATGCTGCTCATAGTTCTGCCTCATGATGTAAACTATCTGACTGCCTACTTAGAACAACACTTACATAGTCACTGAGCATCACCTGGGAGGAATTTCTTTTTTTTTTTTTTCTTTTTTTTTTTTTTAAGATCGTACTTTCGAGTGTCCCATCCACTCCTCTTGGCAGTCACTGCACTACAATGAATTTGTTAGTAGACACCAATGCAGTAGCTGTTTCAAATGAGATTCCCTATTCAATCGAGTTCAAAACCATAAACTATTTAGTTATTATTTAAAGAACATACTAGCTGAAATGTGAACTTGCCACCAGTTTCTTGAAAGCAAAAAAAAAAAAAAAAATCTCTTCAGATTAAAATTATCTTCCATTCCCAAAACAAACTCACCCAAAGGTTTTTGCAAAGGTGGGCGGGGGGGAACCACACAACAGGTAAACAACTGCACAGTGCAAATACCAGACTATTTCTGCCTCTACAGATTCTTTGTCCCTTCCCTTTTTTTTTTTTCTTTTTTTTTTAAGAGGGACTCTGTAAACAGCCTGGTGGAAAAGCCAATCTTTCTGCTCATTCTGTGAACTGGTAAGCTATGTATGCATGTGGAAGCCGATGGAGACTGAAAAAAATTCACTCTAAAGAAAACTCCCTCAAATAATTAAATGGATGGAAGTACTTCACTATGAGGCAGAACCAGGAAAACCCACATTCACATATTGCCAAAGCTACCTACTCTGCAACAAGACTAGTAACCTTACTTGCAATGCATATTCAAAGAAAAATAAAGTAACACCTTTATCAGCATCATGGAGTCCAGTGAACTGGAACCTTTCCTTCCCTCTCCTTTTCACTTGTAACCAGACTGGTGAGATTAGTGTAAATTTGTTTCCAAATATTTTAGCAATGTCATAGCCATGACTGTTCCACTTGCAAAAGAAAGGAGAAAAAAAAACCAAAACAAGTGAGAGGCTCAAAAGCAAGATATACAGTTCACCTTACTATTGACCAATACAAATTCTTTCATACAAATGTAATCATTTGCTAGGTCCCCATTTGTTAGTTTGAATAAACCTTCTGTGATACTCTTTTTACTTAAATAAGAAAGTACTCTGGAAACTGATAGCTACATGAAAGGCGATCTTCAAATTGTGAAAATTCACCTGAACTACAGAAATCTGAATGTAAATTCCAACACAGTTCAAAATTTACAGACTACATTTACACTCAAGAGAACTTGAGAAAGGTGAAAATTTATAGGGCACCTACTTCTTTTTTGAGCTGTGTAAGACTGATACAATGAAATGCATCCTCTAAACAAAAGAAAGCAGCATTTATTATTCAAGAAAAGCTCCCCTGAATAACAGCAAGAATGGACAGCAAAAGAGATCTGACAGCAACATAAATTTTTTACTGTTTATTTAGAAGGTTCAAGTCACTAGCTATGTGTTATGAGGACACTTAGTAGTCCTCTTGTTCCGACTTTACTGCAACGTCACATGCCTCATTGAGGACATAAGAATATTATCATCTCTGTTGTACCAGCAAAGAAAAAAAACGTATGACTTAGACATCCTCCAAGAGACGGATAGGAGAACAAGCATTTGAGACCACCTGAATCCCAGGCCAGCTATTGATAAAGCTCTATTTGACTGCATTTGACCAGAAGTTTCCATTATTGTAAAAATGCTTTTAAAGCAGAGATGCAAGACTGCAGATTAGCACAGTGTCCTGCATATTCATTCAAAGCATAATTTTATTCATTTTACTAACTTACAGGAGTAATATAACCCAGAACATCTCCCGAGAAATGTCTTTCTCTCATCTTCTTTGAGCAATAGCTTTTGTGTTCCAGTATAATATCCTTTGCCTTTAGATCCACAACCACCAGTCCCCGGTCCTGCACATTTTTATCAGAATGCAGTATCTGGGGGGAGAAGACAGTGTTTACAATCAGCTACACATAAGAGCAACATTAAATAGCAACAAACTTAAAGAAAAAATAAAATAAGAAAATCACATCATTAAACCCTAAACACTCCTTTCAAACAATGTAGAGCAGTGTCCTGGGTTTAGCACTAGCAGTCATTTTTCTCTTTCTTGGTAGCTGGTGCAGTGCTGTGTTTTGACTTTCGGGCTGGGAACAGAGCTGAAAAAAATGATGTTTTGGTTTGGCCAAGGACTTGGTGAGCCTCATGCTCTGCCAGGGAGGAGGGAAGTCGGGAGGAAGCAGAGACAGGACACCTGACTCAAACTGACCAAAGAGGTATTCCATACCACAGCACGTCATGCCCAGGAGGTAACTGGGAGTTACCGGAAGGGTGAGGGTGGACTGCAGTGTTGGAGGAGGTATCGGTCGGTGCTTGATCGAGCTGGGGGGGCAAGTTATCGTTCACCTGGTGATGGGGTGTTGTATTTTCTTCCCTTGTTATTTCCTTTATCATTACTGTTATTAGTGGTAGCAGCAGTGGTTTGTGTTATACCTTAGTTACTAAACTGTTCTTATCTCAACCCGTGGGAGTTGCATTCTTTCTGATTCTCCTCTCTGTCCCTCCAGGAGTAGGGGGAGGGCAAGAAGAGACGGGGGGAGTGAGTGAAAAGCTAGCTGGCTGGGGTTAAACCACGACAAGCAGTTTGATTGAAAACTGAAACAGTGCTCAGACATGATTTGTCATCATCAGTAAACTTTGTCTGCAGGCAAAAAGCACACAACTTAAAAAATAATAAGTAAGAATTTATAAGATTAAAGAACATCATTCACCACAGCTGATGGCATTCTGCTCCCTAGCCAATGCTTTCTGACATGTTACCCCCAAAGTAATAAAAAGGGGTCAGGAGTTCTTAACCAATAATTTGAATACTAAAACTGGATCTATTTAGACTGATTAAGCTGTATTGTGGTCACTGAAGGCAAACGTTCTTAACACCTTTAAGGAAAATTTGCTTTAACTGAAACAGCACAAATAGTTTTAGTAGACAGAAAGAGAAAAGGCCTAATTAAGTGTGCATGGTGAGTACACAGAAACCATCTATTGGTTTACCACAGTCGCTTTAGACATGAGACCTGTCTTAACACTTTGCACTACTCTCACTACCTGCAGACTAGAATTTCTTCTGTTCAACATATTTGTCGGTGACATGGACAGTGGGATTGAGTGTGCCCTCAGCAAGTTTGTTGATGACACCAAGCTGTGTGGTGTGGTTGATATGCTGGAGGGAAGGAATGCCATCCAGATGGACCTTGACACGCTTGTGGGGTGGGCTGATGACAACCTCATGAAGTTTAACCATGACAAGTGCAAGGTCCTACACCTGGGTCGGGGCAATCCCAGGCACAGCTACAGGTTGGGCAGAGAAGAGATTCAGAGCAGCCCTGCAGAGAAGGAATTGGGGGTGTTGGTCGATGAGAAAATGAACATGAGAAGGCTTCAGTGTGCACTCACAGCCCAGAAAGCCAACCCTATCCTGGGCTGCATCAAAAGGCAATGTAACCAGCAGGTCAAAGGAGGTGATCCTGCCCTTCTACTCTGCTCTTGTGAGACCTCACTTGGAGTATTGTGTGCAATTCTGGTGTCCTCATCATAGGAAGGACATGAAGCTGTTGGAACAAGTGCAGAGGAGGGCCACAAGGATGATCAGGGGACTGGAGCACCTCCCGTATGAAGACAGGCTGAGAAAGTTGGGGCTGTTCGGCCTGGAGAAGGCTGCATGGAGACCTCATAGCAACCTTCCAGTATCTGAAGGGGAGCTATAAGGATGCTGGGGAGGGACTCTTCATTAGGGACTGTAGTGATAGAACAAGTGGTAATGGGTTAAAACTTAAACAGGGGAAGTTAAGATTGGATATAAGGAGGAAGTTCTTTACTGTTAGGGTGGTGAGGCACTGGAATAGGTTGCGCCAGGTTGGACGAGGCCTTGGGTGATACGGTTTAGAGCAAGGTGTCCCTGCCCATGGCAGGGGGGTTGGAACTTGATGATCTTAAGGTCCTTTCCAACCTTAACTATTTTGTGATTCTTCCTGGTAGACACTGAGTAAGCAAGTAATACAAGCAATGAGAGATGCATTTGTATATTGAACGATTAACTATATTTATAATTTAAGAGAGAGAATTTTTAATATGTCTACTATTTTTCCCAAACATGTCTGGCAACAGTAAGCACACACAGTTGGTATATGCGCTGGTAAATGCAATTCCTCTCCATACATACCCATTCTCTTGCACTGCTGTGCTTTCCCAAACATGTCTGGCAACAGTAAGTACACACAGTTGGTATATGCGCTGGTAAATGCAATTCCTCTCCATACATACCCATTCTCTTGCACTGCTGTGCTTTCTTGCAGTTTTGAAAGCAAGGAAGCAGGAAACAAGAACATGCTCAGCAAGTTAAGGGAGACTTCAGCGTGTTGGCTCCACTTGCTCAGATTGCTGTGAGACTGAATAATTTCTCCCTGCAAAGGAACTGCTGGTTAAGAGGCTCTTCAAAATTTCCTGTCAGAATACAGCTGTCCCATTAGCAAGGCTGAGATCACCTTCTCTTCCACCAGTAAATGATCTAGCACTCTTGGCCCAAACTACTGCTCCCTGATCCCCTTTCTAAAGGAATGGAAATATGTTCTTTAGCTATGCAAGTGGGGACAAAAAACTTCCTGCTTCTGCAGCTTCCATGGGGGGATAAAGTTCCAGAGGTCTGCACCAAGGAGTTGGTTCATGGAGTGAACCATCTGAGATACTCATAAAAGCTGAAGGAAAGGACAGTTTCAAGAAGTCTTATTTGTGATCATAAGCTTCAGTGGAAATGCATGATTGCTTCCAACACCATTTTGACAGAATGAGAATCCATTTACCAAAGTTCAATTAGTTCACTGCACATGCCAAATAAAATTAGCATTTCAGTTATTTGTCTTACCTTTTCTTCCAGTTTTTTTGTAGCACCTTTCTTTACATCTGTTTTTGACAGAGTACCTTCAGCTAGCCAGCAAATCACAGTAAGAGAAACCGAAGTACAGAAGAGCCTCATTATGTTTTCCCCCATGTCAAGTTTCTCCTGCCCTGAAAACATAAAGGTTCAAATATCTATGAAAAGATGAATATAACAGTTTAACTCAGTTTTCTTGCCTAAGAAAAATCAAGCTATTGTCTTCTGTCCTCTAGGCTTAGACTTATTAAGGCAGTATCATTTTAACAGAGCTTTTCCTCTGACAGCAAAATAGCAGAGTATTTTACAAGACTCCTAGGCTTGAACATCTTTTTTTGTCCCTTGCTTTAGTAGATTGATCATGGACAGAGTGGGTTGGACATTTACAGCTTCCCTTTTAAAGAGCCTCTATAGTGTAATGGCTTACAGCTGAAACTGAGATAAATGTCTGCTGCTCAGAACAATTATACTATCACTTTACCTTCCCTACAGCAAATAAGAGATACCATTTGTTTCTGCTCCTGTACAACCCAGTCAGCAAGTCACAAAATAATTAAGAGACAGAATGAATTATAGCCATATGCTGATAGTTATATGCCTTTAACAGGTGAGAGCACTGTTTTCAGTTCCTTGCCAAATTGGTGACACACACAGAATTAAAAAAAAAAACAAACAAACAAAACACACCACACACAAACACACAAACACACACACACACACAACCCAACAACAAAACACACAACACGCACACATACACACCAAAAACAAAAAACAACCCAAAAAACAAAAACACAAAACCAAAACCACACACAAAACAGGGATTCTTCCCCTTGGTTCTAAAAGAATGACTGACAGTTTGACCCTATTCCAGACTTCTGAGCACTTCGTGTTTCAGTTTTAAATCAAACTACTTTGCATTATTTAAAAGGAGTGCTCAGTTTAACTATGTGATTTTCTTGAATTAAGAATTAATAGAGAACATTTCTGTTCAGCACTATTTATTTAATTCTTTCAGAGGAAAGACAAAAAACCAAACAAAAAAAAAAAAAAAAAACAAAAACCAAAATGCAGAGCAAAAATATTAAGCACTAGGAAAACCGCAGCAAAAGGATGTAAAATACCAGAATGAACAAAAGCAACCTGCTACTAATTCTGGAAGTCTTAAATATCAAACTGTGACTAGCTTTCATGTATAATAAACTAGAAGCTTTCAAAGACCTCATAGCAGCCTTCCAGTGTCTGAAGGGGGCCTGTAGGGATGCTGGGGAGGGACTCTTCATTAGGGACTGTAGTGATAGGACAAGGGGTAATGGGTTAAAACTTAAAACAGGGGAAGTTTAGATTGGATATAAGGAGGAAATTCTTTCCTGTTAGGGTAGTGAGGCACTGGAATAGGTTGCCCAAGGAGGTTGTGAATGCTCCATCCCTGGCAGTGTTCAAGGCCAGGTTGGACGAGGCCTTGGGTGATATGGTTTAGAGCGAGGTGTCCCTGCCCATGGCAGGGGGGTTGGAACTAAATGATCTTAAGGTCCTTTCCAACCCTAACTATTCTATGATTCTATGAATACGTATTAGGCTGTTTCTCATCATTATGAGGTCCTAATGGAGAAAGAAAAAAAGGTTACCTTTCCAAAATTCTTTTGAAGTTTTGTTAAACTTAAAAAAATCTCCTGCTTCCTGTATTACTCTGAAGAATTAACATTTCTACCACTCATTTTGAAGACTTATGATCTCATTTCTCCAAGTCATATTTACAAGACTTGTTCTGTTGGCACTGATAACAAGTGCTACTCAAAGACTGAATATTTTGTTCCCATACAAAACATAAGGTGATGCATACCACAAAAGCAGACTGAGCACTCTGAAGGAATACTGTGGCAGAAGGAACCTTAAAGGTTAAATGGAAATGTAGTCAATGGAAGAGCAGCTGTTTGAGACCAAGAATTGTAATGTAGAGATGAGATCAACAACCCATTAAACTGAAGCATTTTTGGACGTGGTTGACTTTGCAGTTACATTTAAAAAATCAGAAATATCTACTGCAGGAGTTAGGGATTCTGTAGTAAAACAGAGAGGAGCACATGATTAGGGAACACAGAAGAAGGATGACGGCAGTAGAAGTGCTTGAAAAGAAGAAAGCTACTAGCACCCAAGAAAACAGAGCAGCAAAACCATCATGTACAGAATTATTTCAAGGCTTTAGTCAAGTCTTATAAACACTGCAAAATAAAAGCAGAAAGCTTTCTTGGATCCAGAGAGTGGGGTAAAAGCTAAATTGCTGTACCATTTGAAATATCCAATATTATTCATAGCTAAGGTGATACACTGCTTCTTCGACTTCAAGGTCACTGGTAACCCTTTGTTTTCCACATCCTAAAATATCAGATGAAGCAGGCTGCTCTTGATAGCATCTACTCTGTTCCATCTAGCTTGACAGAATCTATAAGCAACTGCAGAGATGAAGAGTTCAGATCCTGAATAGTCGATACAAGTCTTAATTATTTGGACAGAATATCAATTCTTCCACAAACTCGTATATATTGATTTGGAGGTGTTTAATTTCACTTTCAGAAATAATTAGCAACAGCATCCAGTTCCCTGAAGAGACATGAACTTTTAACAGCTGAAGAAAACAAGCTTAAAAAAAGCCATCACTGAACTCTAATTAGACATCAAAATGTGCTCATTTCCTTGACACGATCATATTCATCTTCCCATTACTGTTAAGTCAACATCCACCTAGATCTATAGGAAGCACTGAGCCTGTGGGAAAATGGTTTTTGCCAGTGACAGTACAATATCGACTCTCGGCTAGAACCTTGTTTTAATAGTTTGTTCTAACACCATCAGTTTAGTGAAAACTGACTAGACAGCATTGCTCTACTACATAGAGATTATCTAGACAAACTTTAAATGCTTGTCGTGGTTTAAAACCAGTCAGGCAGCTCATTCACTCACTGCCCCCCTTCTTGCTCTCCCCCTACTCCCGGAGGGATGGAGAGGAGAATCGAGAAGAATGCAACTCCCACGGGTTGAGATAAGAACAGTTTAGTAACTCGGGTATAACACAAATCGCTATTGCTACCACCAATAACAATAATGATAAAGGAAACAACAAGGGAAGAGAATACAACACCTCAGCACCTGCCAACTGATAACGCGCCCCTCCAGCCCAACCAAGCACCGACTGATACCTAGTCCAACCCCACAGTCCACTGATCTAGCCCTTCCAGGTAACTCTCCATTACATCCTGGGCATGATGTGCCGTGGTATGGAATACCTCTTTGGCTAGCTTGGGTCAGGTGTCCTGTCTCTGCTTCCTCCTGGCTTTCCGTCCTCCCTGGCAGAGCATGACGCTCAGAAAGTCCTTGGTCAGACTAAAACATCAGCATTATCAGCTCTACTCCCAGGCCGAAAGTCAAAACACAGCGCTGCACCAGCTACTAAGGAGAAAACGGACTGCTAGTGCTGAACCCAGGACAATGCTCTTTATGGTAACTATTAGCATGAATTTTGCAAACTTTACAAAACTAGACCTCCATCAAGTTTTAGTTCTGCTCATTTTCCTTCATATCTTTTTAATTGTCCTCAAACTAATTAAACTGAGTAGAACTGCATGAGCTCAGCATTCATTTCGTGTATCACTGCAAAATGCAAGCAAAATTGAAGACTCTGCTCAACTGACACTACAATTTAAAGTTTAATGCATTATTTGACAAACTGACCTGCAGCCCACATTTGTCTCTAACCCAGGTTAAAAATACTGTTTAAGTCTCCATAGAAAGGAACATACTTTCAGTCAGTGGTTTTAAATGAATCTTTAAGAGAGAGAGAGAAAGTTGGCATAGATTTAGGCTGCCCAAAAGAGGCAACCAAAGAAACTAAATACTCTTGGACGATGATACAGTAGCTATTTGGAAATCAGAATTAATGTTTATTTCTAAAGAAACATGATTCTAACTACTGCTGTAGGAGTCTGCATCGCTTAGCAAAGAAGCCCAAGAAGCATACCGTCGATGTGCTTTCAAGTTAAATCAACAAAAACTAGATTCAGGTGTGAGAAGAGTGAAACCCCCCTTATAGCTTGTGTAAGTATCACTCCTTTTCCTCTTGTCAGGTGCTCTACTTTGACAGTAAGAGTTGCCTCCGATACTCGTCTCTCAGGAGACCAAAGCTTTCCACCCAGTCCTGTGATGGCCAGCAGCCTGCAAGCCTGCCAAGCCCAGGCTCCCTCAGAGCCAGCCCCCGCTGCGGCCTAATTCCGAGCTCGTACCCCGTGCAGCCACCGAGGGCCCCCTCAACTGCCGTGTCACCCCGTCACTCCAGGCGTGGCGCAAACCGAGGGCCGCCACACTGCCGCTGCACAGCCTTACCGCCCGCCCCCTTCCATTCCATTCCCTCCCCACAGGCAGCCCTCAGCCGCCCGTCAGCCACCACCTACCGCCTGCCGCCGCTTCGGAAGTAGAGGCGGCCGGCACCTCCCCGCCAGCTGACGGGGCAGTGCTGAGGCGGCGAAAAGGAGACTGCCGGGTGGCGGCTAAGCCCTGGCTGCGCCAACATGGCGCAGAGGCAGGGCCGGCAGTTGCGAGCTCGAGAGAGTGGGTGTTGCTTGGTGACGGCCCGGCCCGGCCCGGGGCGGGGCGGGGCGGGGCGTGGTGGCGGCGGCAGCGGCGCCGGCGGGCGCCGGCGGGGAGGTGCTAGTGGCGCTATCTCGGAGTGTGAGGGGTAACGGCGCTCATCAGTACCCAGAGAAAGCAAGTGTTAGTCACGGTCTAACCGTGAATTGCCTAGAAGAGCCTCTTCATTTATTACAAGCTGTAGCAAACAGTGTAGGGAACGTGGGAGATTGGGCTAAAACACATACACAAACCAGGAGACAGCCAAGTAACAGCCAAGGCTGCAGAGACAGCAAAAAATATTGCTAAATCGAGATACGCAAAAAGGAGGAGTCAAGTGTTAGATGGCCGTTAACAGGATTTAAAATAAATGTTTTGGGTTTAAATTGAGATTTTTATTCAGTTTGTGTTTTCACATACAATGTGACTACTTCAGCTTTCACTCAGAAGTGGTAATTTTTTTTTAATCTCATAGGACTGTTTGATAGGCATCTCTGAAACGCAGTACATTTTCATATATTACCCAAGTTTAAAAGGTGCATAACTTCTGTACCAAAAGTAATTTAGAATTAATGTGGTACTAGATTTTCTGTTGTTTCATAATATGCAGTTCATCTCCCACAAACTTTAAATGTTTCCATGTTACACTTCTAAACAAGAGGAACAACAGAGATAAGGCACAAGGGCATGAAAAATCAGGTTTGTTTACAACCTCTGAGTAACGAAATCTACGATTTCCTGTGTTGCATTTCTGTTATATTGTCCTATTGACACTCTTACTTGCAGTCTTAGTGGGAATGCAACTAGTTGACAGGGTGCATGCTGTCATTGAGGAGACCTGTAGCTACCTAGAAGGGAATCACAGACCTTATCTGTAGAGCATACATCCAAGTTTTTAACATGTCTGCAGTAGGTTGGTAGTAGGTAGGTCTTGGGCAGTCCCTACCAGAGGCTG